CCACTTCTAAAGGTAATTAGTTTCTTTAGGAAAATGGACTAAATAAGAGAATCAAAGGCAGATTATAAACACAATATGGACAGAAGCTGTAGAATATAACGTGCGAATGCAGCATGAGGAGTAAAAGAGAAAGAAAAGTAGAAAGGTAAACAAAAATTAGATTTTTTGTTTATATTTAGAGGGTCAAGACTATCAGTTATATCAGACGTATTCACCCTATTTCGTTTAAGGTTATGAAGGACTGGTAGTAGAATTTTCTACAATGATATTATTAGAGCTGACGTTTCCATTGAACTTCACATAGCTTTGCTTTCCCCAAAGTTGTTCTCATCCAGGCTGAAGTTGACTGCAGTTTCGGCCCGGCATAGGTCTTATCAACACCCCAGCGGGAGTCGAACCGTGACAGTGCAGCGTTTAATCTCTACACGTTAACCACTGCACCACATTGCCACGAGTTCCCTTGGGTCACAGAGCAGATGTGAATTTCAAGGAAGTCCATGCCTTTTCCCATGTCACATTCTTTGGTGGGATTTTCGATGAAGCAAACGTATTTTTGCTATAACAATCGGGTGGAAACAGAACTCGAGCCTGTATGAGCATAACTTTTGGAAGGCAAGACCAAATGAAATTTAATGACAATGCGCAAAAAGTGATCCTTCAACCCTTCGTTATCTTCCATCCTAGATGACTAGTTTGGAAGCACCCTCATTAATTTTTTTAAAATTTACGTTATAATGTCAGGTGATCAGATCATTAAAGTATGTGTGATGCCTTCCATATGATGAAACCTTAATATTTTATGCAAAATCATCCTTCTTTTGACTTTATTATAATCTATGTTTATTGGACGTATTCACTTTTACTGCATTCCACGCATATGCACACAGATTATCGCAGATCTGACCGCCATATCTCGGCTCACTGATGTCGAAGGCCTTCTCTCCGAAGCCGATCCGGCTGGTGATCGGCAGCGCGTTGCCGTCTTGGCGCAGTTGCGCTCTCGATTGGCAACCTCACGTGCCCGTCTCACTGGGCGCATTGACCATATAAAACGGTTGCTAGACAGTACAGAGGCCCTGGAGACGCGACTGGTCGGGCTCCGTGAGTTCGTTACCAAAACACAAAAGGCCCGAGATCACCTGGTGTATGCAACCACGGTTATGGAGGACCAGGAGTCTAGGACAGAGATGCAGGTATGTCAATGTTACCAGTCAAATATCACATTTGGCTCTACCCTTTTGAACATCATTTGATTACAGTCCGCATTGGAACTCATTAAGAGGAAATTATAAGAAGTACCGAAAGACTCTTGTAACAATTCCATTCGGAAAGTCCTCTTGCTCTTTTAAATCGACTACTGCTGATTTCTGTTGAGAGTGTAAGTCTTCATTGATGCCCACTCTGTATCGTATGTTCCATTTTGATGACTGAGGGCTGATGTTAAAGCAGCTTTACTTTCTTACTAATGGGTGTGTCCAGACAGCATACATAACTGCTTGATTTGATAGACGAAGTCTGATGGTGTCTATCACAGATTCATCATTGTCACAGGGCGGTGAGCCGCGGGCTTCTTGGTACCATCCCACAGTCTTCACTGCGCGGCAATCCTCCTTCGGTTTCACGAATTCCTTCCAACCAACTTTTCGTGCGAAATGGAAGTCATATCACTAAGGGATTCTTCGAAATCCAGTTATTTTCATATCTTTTAAGCGAGATTGCCTTAGAGTTGTGACTAGACTTTTGCGAATAAGCCCTCAGCTTACCAGCCTGTGACCCTGAGCAACCGTTGGAGGGCGGTGTGCCGAGAAATTATTCGCAAAATTCTACAATCACAGCTCCGAGGCAATCGCTTATTTACTTCCGACGTGGTCAACGTACGAATCCTCTCCACTGGTCACTTCAAACGAGATGAAAGGTACTCCAACAGAAGATCGCAACACTTTTTGCTGCCTAGTCTCGACGACGAGTCATGACAATTCTCTCTCATCCTTTCATCTATTCCTTAGTTATCCTTGACTCGTGGCGATGACATCAATCGACAGTTCGAGGAGGCAGGCCGCCAGCTGCGCCGTTTGATTCAGCTGGCGCGTAGCGGAGAAACCGGAACCCCAATGTCCCCACAACTGGACGTTTCTTTGCTAGAAGAGGAATTGGCTGAATTGAACGCTGCTTGGAAGGTAGGCATTCTTTCATCAATTTTCCAGCCTCATCGAGGGGAACACATTTCCACATTTCCAATTTATGTGCACCAGTTTCCACTAGCTTTATGTTGACTCGTAGCAAGTCTGTACATGATGAATTGAAAAGGAAGCTTGTGTTTAGTCTTTTTCCCTTTTTATCTTGTGCTGCTCTGATTTCCGACTTTAATTGGCGAAACGAATATAGCCTATAGTGATCATCGTTAGTAATATTTTTAAGAATATTTATTAGATAATCGTATGTATAAAAAACTTCGATTGCAGCCTCTTCTGTACATATCAAATTAGTCTGATCTTGTGGTGATCCAAATTCTCCCCTAGTCCCGGTGCCCTTGCCTATCAAAAGAGCTGTTTCGTGGGCTCTTAATCCCATTTTAGCACAATTTCTACCTTGCTTCTTCTGGTATCCTCCAGAAGTGCTCTCTCTCTCTCTCTCTCTTAAGGGAGATGCAAAAGCAAATGGTATCTGGTTGCTCTGACTAAACCTACTCAACATGACTCACCCTTGAATTATATCCTAATAAACAGTGTAAAAGTTGCTAGGATGCTACAGCTCCATTGTATAGACAAATGTACATGAATCATCTGGGAATTGACCCAATCATCGACGTGATGATGGAAGAAACCATAAAAGCTATGGCAGATGACGCAGTATAGGATTACTCCTTTACAGACTCCTAGACATTTCGATTAAATTGCGAAAACGACATGCAAAGAATTCAATTTATTAGATGAATAAAATACGGCTTTCGAAAGATCTCCTTAAATAAGTTTATTGTGAAAACGTTTACTTCGTATGGAAGTACATGATGAGGAGATTTGTAGGTCAAGCTTATTACAAGACACCGGCTGATTCGCGTTGTACATCAGCCGTTTGGTCTTAATGCAACAATCAAGCTTCTCATTTTTCGTATGTAAGTAGAGTATCGAGACTACCAGTAAAACAGTAATATGAGAGGTATTCACCCTATTTCGTTTAAGGTGATGAAAGAGTGGTAGTAGAATTTTCCCACAATGATATGAGTAGAGCTGACGTTTCCATTGAACTTCACATAGCTTTGCTTTACCCAAAGTTGTTCTCATCCAGGCACCAATGGACGACAGTTTCGACCTTGCATCGGTCTTATCAACACCCCCAGCGGGAGTCGAACCGCGACAGTGCAGAATGCGAGCTTCACACGTTAAGCACTCGACCACATTTCCACGAATACCCTTGGGTCACAGGGCAGATGTGAATTTCAAGGAAGGCCTTTTTTGGTGGGATTGTCGATAAAGCAAATGTACATTTGCTATAAATAATAGACTACATTAATTATTTATCGTTTATAACTTCTCATATAACTAATTTATTTGTAGTCTCGAAGCTCTGCTCATAAACCAAAAATAAGTAATGTAAAGAAAAGTTGAGTTTCGAGGAATCTCATGTTTCATAAATGTTGAGCTTACTTCCATTTCGAGTGAAAGTGTTGGGTGAATAGATTCGAAGGTCGGTTCCATCAAAAGACGACGGCGGATTCCTCTTGACCGGCTGTTGATTGGCTTTACTGGAATATTCATACTGACGCTGTTTCCGAGGTAATCTCCTTCGATTCCAGTGAAAAGGTGCTAAGCTTTCGTCCGTCATATGA